TTAGTCGCGAGTTTTTCTTCCTAGCGATTGCTAGCCGGGTTTCTAGGCGGTCTCCGGACATGTCCTCCCACTTTTCAGTCGTTGACTGCTTGTATTCGCACATTTGTGCGCCTTTGATTTATAGTAATTTCTATCGTTTTGGTAAAAAAAAATAAAAAAAAAAAGTTTGCAAGAACGATTTAAAACATAAAATAAAAACTTCTCATATATACACCGGTGTAATTTGAAGTAGTCAACGTAAATTATGTTATATTTGTACATGTTAGAAGTGTAATTCAGAGGAGCGTATTCATTATATTTAAAATCATACAACACATGACTAACTTAAATCATAAATACATATATATTTAATAGTTGATAACTTTGATATTTCTTCTAAAATTTTTGTACATAACATATTAATTAAAATAGTTTATTCTTCTTTATTAATACTGATTAAAAGTTTGTCAAATTATATATCAATTGAAAAAAGCATCTATAAATTCATTACCCATGAGTTTTTTATTTTTTGTAAAAATATCCTAATATTGTACCGAAAAATCATAAAAATGAAAAAAATATAAATTTAAATATAAATAATAATATATATTGTTTTTAAAATATTTGAAATAAGAAATTAAAAAGAAAAATTATCTCACATTTTTATTAAGAATTTCATTACAAATTTTTTTAAATAGCACCCATATAATTATAGTGTGTTATGTACTAGTATTATTTTAATATAAATTAAAATTTTAATAGAGTATATTACAATTTAAGTAATGTATATTTTACTACTTTAACTTTTTTTTTTCTTATTTGAATTGTGTTTTTTATTTTTATTTTTATTTTTGGCCTGTATGTTAGAAAAAAAAAGTTATAAAAATGTCTTTTTCGCAACAAAAAAGTCCTTTATGTTTTGCAAAAAAGTGTTCGATTTCGTCTCTTATGTATGAAAAGGACTTTCGTGTAATTTTTTTTCAAACATATGGTACGAAAATAAAAAAAACACAATTCGAAGAGGACGAAAAAATTAAAATAGTGAAACGTAGATGACTAAAATTATAATTTACTCAATTTTAATACAAATAAACTTTCAATTAAATTAAAACAAAAATATTTTATATTCAACCACACATATGAGTGCCACCCAAGACTGTAACTCCCATCAGACGATATCTTCACCTCCCATTTTTTGCACTGCAATTTTGGTCGCTGAATATATCTGCCCATCTCATTTTATTGATTATTTTCTCAATCGTTAGCTGAAAGCTTCAATTTTTATCAAGAAAAACGGCAGCCATGGGCGACGGCAACCAGGACATAGAGAACGGCGAAAACCGCGCGCGGGAAGAAATCAGAGCTCCGCTTCTCGCCGGAGATGACGGTTCGGGTCGTCCATTGAAGGGAAAAAGCTGCGAGGAAGAAAGATGCATGGTGTATTTGAGTACATTTGTTGCTGTTTGTGGGTCTTATGCTTTCGGATCTTGCGTATGTCGTGGCTGCTTATGAATCGTACAATAATTTCTTGTTTTTTGCTTGTGTATCTGTAAGTTTTTGGGTTAAAGATTGCATCTTTATCATATTTTTTTGGTTGATTTTTTGTTTATTATTTGGGTTTATAGGCAGGATACTCTTCGCCCACACAAGCTGCAATCAGAGAAGATGTGAACTTGTCATTAGCAGAGGTTTGTTTGTAGTAATTTAATACTGTTATTATTATTATTATTATTATTATTATTATTATTATTATTATTATTATTATTATTATTATTATTATTATTATTATTATTATTATTAGATATGTTTCTGCCAATTCTGTATATTTAGCCTAAGTTGTCATGGTTTTGAGAGCAAATAAGTACTTTTGATGTGGGGAGAATAATAAGTACTTCTGTATATCTAGTGGGCTACTCCTCCCATCACCAATTGGTTTTGGGATGGAACCTCACTTGGGCTTCATTTGGGCTAACCCTCTTATGGTGCGCTTCACTTGCGTGGGACCGCACTCGATTTGCCCCCAGTTTGACAAGATGAAAATAATCCATGTTTAAGTGAAGTGTTGAAAGCTTGTGGTGGGTTTTGAGTGTCAGCCTTTTTGCTTTTGATGGTTTTGCTCGATTTCATCAGAGGACGAAAATTGTCGATTTCTCATCGTTTTTTTTTCCTTCTTCCTAAATTGTACGTATTTGCCAACTTGTGTAATTTTGAGCTTTTGTTACAATGAATCACTTGTTTTGAATTGCTGAGAGTTAAAATCCGTGTGCCGTTTTGAAGTACTCATTGTTCGGCTCCATATTGACTTTCGGGGCGATGATTGGTGCAATCACTAGCGGCAAAATTGCTGATTTTATCGGTCGCAAAGGGGTGAGTGAATTCATTAAGACCCAGAAAATTTATGTCACTCACAACCAGTTTATAATATTGATCTTGACATTTGAATGTTGGGAATGGAATAATCAGGCCATGATAGTATCGAGTTTATTCTGCACGGCAGGGTGGCTATCCATTTACTTTGCCCAGGTAAATAACTAATAAGGAAAAACATAATAACATTTAAGGTTTCTTTTCATTATATGCATAAAAATTTAGTTCTTGATTTAGCAAGTTAATAAGTTTCTAACAATTTACGCAGGGGCCCGTGCCTTTAGATGTTGGGAGGTTGGCAACTGGATATGGGATGGGAGTATTTTCTTATGTGGTAAAAGATTTGCTGTCCTTGTTGATAAATATGTGGTAAAAAAACTTTCTTTTTCGTTTTTCTATTTTTTTCCCAACTATTATTATTGTTTGTTATTGTTTAGGTTCCGGTATTCATAGCTGAACTTGCTCCCAAAGATTTACGAGGAGCTTTGACAACCATTAATCAGGTAAATGGTATTGCAGACCGATCACTCTTCGCCTTTATTGGGGTAAAAATAGCATAAGAATGTGAAAAAATGCTGCAAATTGTTTTGTATCTACTTAACAAATATCTCATATTGATGTTGGAATTTGTAAAAAATGCAGCTTATGATTTGTACGGGAGTATCCGTATCCTTCATCATAGGCACATTGTTAACATGGAGAGCTTTAGCTTTAGTAGGTAAAAATTATGCCAACACATTCAAGTTAATATTTTCAAGTAATAGAGGAAAAAGAAGAAGAAAAAGAAAACATTTCTCATTTCCTTTTTTCCTTTTCTAATACCTCAATTAGTATAAATGACTTCTCGAAAAACTTGTGCAGGCATAATCCCTTGTGCTGTTCTGCTTTTCGGTCTGTGCATCATTCCAGAATCTCCAAGATGGTTGGTAAGTATCTTGATACAAGTAATTTTTTATTACTATGACCGCAATACCGTAAAAATCTCGTTGAAGTAAAATTATTACTGTTCAAGGCAAAACAAGGAAAACAGAAAGAGTTTGAAGCTTCTTTACGCAGGCTTCGTGGGAAGAATGCCGATATATCTGCCGAGGCAGCTGAGATTCAAGTATCTATACTCTTAAAACTCCTAATTCTTATAAATTCATTTCATTGATCATCTTAAAAAAGACTATAATATCTCTCTCTCTTTTTTTTAATAATAATATATTTTGACAGGATTATATAGAAACTCTGGAGAGGCTTCCGAAAGCCAGACTTCTTGACTTGTTTCAAAGGCGATACTTACGCTCAGTAATTGTACGTTTTATAATTTGTCGACATGAAAATCACTACTTGATTTATATTAGTGTTCTATTTCTAACTGGCATTATATGAACCAATTTGTCATAAATAGATAGGAGTTGGATTAATGGTATGCCAACAATTTGGAGGAATTAATGGAATATGTTTCTACACGAGCAGTATTTTCGAATCCTCAGGTAAGTAAATGTATATTAGAAAAATCTGTGTTTTTTATCAACCAAAAAAAAAAAAAAGTTCGAACCTTTTTGTGTAATATGTCACAGGCTTTCCAGCCGATCTCGGGACTATAATCTATGCGATTCTTCAGGTATATAGCGTAAACCTCTGAAAATAGTTAATATTTCATTGTTACAAATACTTATCATTTATGTTTAAACATTCTACTTGTTAGGTCATAATCACTGCAATTGGTGCTGCTTTAATCGATAAAGCAGGGAGAAAGCCTCTTCTAGTGGTAAAATTTCGATATAGCTACTTATAAACAAGAATTAACGTTGTTTGTTTTGTGTTTTCCTTTTTATCTTTTTGACATTGTAATATAAAGCTTGCAAATTGCCATGTTCTACAGGTTTCTGGAGGAGGACTGGTTCTAGGTTGTCTGTTAACAGGCGGTTCGTTCTATTTTAAGGTAATAATTTCATCGTTTTTTTGCCGTATGTGTTTCTTTTATTTTTTTTTCTTCCCTTTTTTCTTGCGGTCAATAGAGATATTTCGATTAAGTGAATAATAATTATATACTCTGAACCAGGAGCACGAACTCGCACACAATGCTGTTCCAGCTCTTGCCGTGACTGGCATATTGGTACATTCCGTTTTTTTTTTCTCGTTTAATCATAAAAAAGCAAAAAAAATAAAAAAAGAAAAAACTTTGTCTAAGACATGTTTTTTTGTGCAAATCAGGTGTACATTGGAGCCTTCTCGATCGGAATGGGAGCTGTTCCGTGGGTTGTAATGTCTGAGGTTAGACAAGCCAGTAGCTTTTCGAACTTGCTACAAGTATATTCCGACTGTGGTTACAGAAAAGGGTGTTGTTTCGTCTAGTTACATAATAATACTTTGGCACGATTTATTTTCAATGCAGATATTTCCTATAAATGTTAAAGGAGTTGCCGGGAGCTTGGCCACACTCGTGAACTGGTTTGGCGCATGGGCTTGTTCTTACACGTTCAATTTCCTCATGAGTTGGAGTTCGTACGGTAAGCAACTAAGATTTTCAGGAAAACAAAAAAATTGTCTTAAGTTGTGTTTGGTAAGCATATAAGCTAGCTTATAGCTTATTTGATTAATTTATAAGCTTCCTATATTCATATAAGTTTGGTTTGGTAGGACGAGTTTTTTTAAAAAGCTCGAACTTATCTCATAAGTTTCTTAGGTAGCTTTTCAAATAAGCCCATTGAAATTTTTATTTCAGTTAATTTTACCAAACACTTTTATCATATAAGCTAACTTTTCAGTCATAAGTCATAAGCTATCAGCTATAAACTTAAAATTTACTTAAAAGTTATAAACTAGCTTATTAGTTAGGTTTATCAAATATAACAATATACACTTTACATTCATTATTCTAACTTGAATTTACCTCACAAGAGTGATGGAGAGAATACGAGTTATTTCAAATTTGGCTATAAGTTCGAAAAATGCATTTTTGCAGGGACATTCGTTCTTTATGCTGCCGTGAATGCCTTAGCCATACTCTTTGTGATTGAGTTTGTGCCCGAAACAAAAGGTCGAACTTTGGAACAAATCCAGGCTGCAGTGAACGCGTCGTGAAAATAAATAAGATAAAATGAAATGTTTGTCGACCGGGATTTTTATGGCAACTGTATTTTCACATTTTTTGGTGGATGGATGTTTTTTTTGGAAGGTATTATATGGCAAAATTGTGAAATTAATGTTGTATGCCAAATTTGTGGATTTTTGAGGACGAAAAAGATGAATAGTACCATTAAAACCATCCATTTTTATTTTGGCAACATTGCCATTTTATTAGTCATGTTGGTTTGATCTAGTGGCGTTTTTAGTCATGAGAGTTGAACATTTTTGCTATTTGGTTATATAATTTTAAAATTCAACGCAATTTCAGTTCTTTGAGAATGAAAATGCAACAATAATTCAAAATTACGGATGAATTTATGATTAGCAATTTAAGTCCTGAAATTTAGGATTTTGATGCAATTTCAGTCCCAAATGATTGAAAATGCAACAAAATTTAAAATTACATGATCAAAAGACAAAAAGTTAAAATCTTGGGACTAAAAATGCTAAATTACATAATCAAAAGACAAAAAGTTAAAATCTTTGAACTAAATATGCTAAGGCGTTAAACTAGCAAGACTAAAAATGCAATTTTGCCAACTTTTGAGCAACTTCATAGTTAAGTGATTCACATCAAAATTTGTAATTAAGTTAGTATTAGCATTATTTTTGTACATCATTTTTTACTTTTTTTTAATCTCTTTTTAGTACTATATTTATTAATGTGCCGTACTTAATTTATCATTGTAATATAAAAGGAAATGTTCAATTTAATTACGCATATCAACCGTAAGGCAAACGTAGTCACTCACCAATAATTTTATAGGTGGTACAGTTCAAATTTACAGCCATTAAAAATAAAAACAAAAAAATAAACTTTATGTAGCTATCTAATAACGACTACTATCTAACTTTTGTCCACATTGTGTGGTGCATTCACTAACTTCAATTCGAAAATTTTAAATAAATTCGATGTCACATTCTTCA